TTTACTATATGGTCTAAATCGTAAACTCACCTCTCGATTTGTCAAAGATTTAAGAAATCATCAAATTAGTGATCAAGTAATTCAATGCATTAAACTCATAGCAAAATCAACACATGAAAGATAAATGAAAAAAAAATCTTGAATAAAAGGTATGAGGGATCTCAAATAGGTTACATTGTTCATCCTAATATTAAATTTAGTTGTTCATAACAGTGGAAGAAAAACAAGAAGTTGTTAATAAATACATCATCAGATTTTGATGAAAGATATAGAAAAAGAAATCAATCTTGCACCAAAATCTTCTTCTTTTTCAATCAATGCTTCAAACGGTGAATTTTTTGATGTTTTCCTCTGTTGAATTGCTTCTTTGATTCTCAAGTCGAATTCTCATCCTCTCAATGTGTGGAATTCTAACGTCAAAAGTAGCCTCTAGATTTGTATTTATGCCTTCTTGAAGTCTTTGGAAGACTTGGATTGAAATTGGACTTTTAAAAAATGAATCAAACTTGGACAACCCTAATTGTACACGGCGCCCAGGCGCTGCGATTGGCACTGGCTTTCAAGAAAAAATTAGTAATGTGGTGCCTAGGCACTGAGGAATAGCGCCTGGGCGCTCGCGGCAGCTTCAATTGCACTGTATAGTTTTCAATATTTTCTCATAACCTTATCTTTCGATATCCAATTGAGGCAATTCAAAATGCGTTCAAAAGCTAATGCAGAGGGATTCGACTCTGCTTCAGATATCAATTTCCAATTTGAATGTTTGCTATATCAAAAATGGGTCTCAGCATGAGACTAAAAATCTAGAGCACAATTTTTTTAGGTTGAAAATTGATGTGTAATCATACTTTGACTATATTTCATCCCTTCGAATTTTTTCTTCATCCAATTGACTCCTAGAACTCTTGAATTTTCATTGTGAGGTTCGACACAACTTTTGAATATTTACACTTTAGTTTTCGAACTTCGGATCTTGTACAATTTGGCTCTTTTTTATAATTTTGCCAACTTTTACTTATTTTCTTCAATTCCATCAACCTATCTCACAACATCAAAACACACATTAAAATACTCTAAACCTCATAGAAATTAGCTAAATATCAAACTTAGATGGTGTCTAAAGTATGAGTAAAATACACATTAGTTTTCGACATCGTCTGTTCACAGTTAACGATATCTTGGACAAGTTTGTTAAACACGTCTAAATTGTCATCAAAATCCTTTGAAAGATCCATTTTTAAAACTAAAAAATGCCCAAGTAAAGTTTGTTTGGAGTAGATTTGAGCAAATATAAATCCTCTAATTTTTTCCAAAGTTCTTTTGTGGTTTTCAGTTTACCAGCTTTTTTCAAAAAGCGTCAAACAAATGTAAAATGATTGAAGTATGAACAAGTGTAAAATCAATTCAGAAATGCACAAAATCACAATCAAGCCACACAAAGTAGTCCTAGGATCACAGATAAAATACACTGTTTTAAATTTCTAAGGTTTCATAAGATTCGCGATCTTAGATTAAGGAAATGCTTGAAACGGGTAGGGTCTATGTGCTTTAACGAAAATTAATGAGGCAACAACAAAGATTGTCAAAAAAATGTATTTCAACCATAGCAATTCCTTACGGACTATACCATGAAGACAATAAATGGATTTTATCAAAAATAAACAAATACTTCAATCAAGTAAGAGTAAGTAATTCCAAATTTCTAGCACAAGTAATAGTTACCCTATATGGTAACCCCAAATCCTATTTTCACCTCAGACGATGATGCACTAGTACATAAATTTAACCAAGATAAGTTCTTTACCAAAGCGGACATGTCTGAAGTCCGTAAAATTGAGATATGCGAATCTCCTGCTTTAGGGCCACCACTATTCGCCCTAAAGATTCAGCAAATATTCCAATGTAATTGACTAATGATCGTGGAACAAGCATCAATGGACAAAATCATCCAAAGTTTTCTATATAAACTAAAACACGAAACTAACAATATCAGTAAATTCAAAAAAAATAAATTGAGCAACGTGCCCGAAGAGAGCTTCTCCAAATTCACTGTGACACACCACCGTCGCCACTTGCCACTCAGGGAGTGGGGCCTCCACCTGCTGAATCCAAGAATGGGCTTAGTTTTTCCGGTCGATCACTGGTTTGGTCGGAATTGGGGTTTTCAAGTTCGACCCATTCAAGAAAATCGCATGATCTTGCCCTTTTTTGTCGATTTCTGGCCGAAAAACCCCCCACGGTGCTCTTGTACCAGATGTTGAGTGGAAGATGATGGCCACAAGGCTCAATTTCTCCTCCAATCAACACTAATATGAAAATCACCAAAATCCCTCAAACTACCTTTTCGTACACGGTTGATCTTTTGTTCACCCACTTAGGATGTATAATGAAAAGTATAATCACAAAGATGAGAGGTAACCATGAGGACAATGCAGAAAAACGATAAGGAAGAATCACAAAGAGAGCCACCGATTTTAAATAGTGAGGAAAGAAAGGTGATAAATTCATGACCAAAAGGATGGGTACCCCAAGAATGTATAGGTATTAGATACGATACAGTGAGGGTTTGAGGCCATTATGGATATAATTGGATAACTAAGTGTGTTGCTCAATATTAGTCGTCCAAGTAAGAGAAATGGCCCATGAGCAGCTCTAATTAAAATTAGGCTGCTTAAAATGGCCAGAATAGCTTTTGGTCGGGTCTTTTCACTTTGGTGTCTGACGTAGCGAAAATATTATAGGGTAGATGAACAATCACAAATTGAGAAAACTCTCAAAGAAGATTTTATTGAATTCAAGAACTACTGCCTCTAAGGGCTTACAACTGATTAAATAGAAAAAACCTAGGAAAAATCAAAAAATAAAATAAAATAAAGATATTTTTTTCCAAAAATGGAAAATATGAGATAATTACAAAGATGAAAAATACTTATCTTCGGGATCATCCTCCAACAAACGAAATCTAAATCCGAATTTCATGGGAAGAGATATTGCAAAAATGAAAATTATCATAAATAGCAAAAACAATTAAACGAGGGCCTAAACGATGGATTTTGCCCGAAATTGGTCTTGCGTCAGGGCCAAAGGCACTGTGTTTTATTCCTTGGCTCGGCTCCAATCAAATTAGACTAGTGATTTGCCAAAAACGAGCAAACCCAAAGTCATCATGAAATCATTTGCCACTTTTGCCTTGTGATGGTCCCATTTTGCCATGAACTCTAATCCCTTGTGCACTTCATCATTCTCCCCAGGGTGGGAAAAATTCGCCCTCGAATTTGACGGGAAAGGAGCTTCATCATCATCACCAGAATTATCACCATGAAATGGCACTAAATGCTTGATATTGAACACGTCGGAGGTACGAATATGGCTGGGCAGCTTTAAACGGTAAACATTTGGATTGATTTTCTCAATGACCTCCAACGGACCAATCTTCTTCGCGGTAAGCTTGTTGTATTCATGAGCAGGAACACGATCCTTTGTTAACACCGCCCAAATAAAGTCACCTACCTCAAACTCAACATGTCTGCGCTTGAGATCCGCAGCACGCTGATATTCAGCGACAGCAGCCTGCAGCTGATCATGAGTCTGTGAGTGAACCTAGTGCAGTTGTTGAATAAAGTCTTCGGCCTTACCATGCATTTTAACAGAAGTAGAAACTGAAACTAGATCAAGAGGACCACGAGGAACAAGGCCATACACCACCTGGAACGGACTAAAACCTGTACTTCGATTAACAGCATGATTGTGAGCAAATTCTGCTTGACACAACTTCTGATCCCAAGACTTAATGTGATCACCAACCAAACAACGTAGTAAATCACCTAAGGAACGGTTAACAACCTCTATTTGACCATCTGTTTGAGGATGATATGCATTGCTGAAGTCCAGCCGTGTATTCACGGAGCGCCATAGGCTGCGCCAAAAGTGGCTGAGGAAACGAGTATCCCGATCGGACATAATAGATGTAGGCAGTCCATGAAGGCGATAAACTTCACGAAAGTACAATAAGGCTACATTGACAGCATCTGTAGTCTTCTTGCAGGGGATGAAATGTACCATTTTTGAAAACCGATCAACCACTACGAAGATTGAATCAAAATCACGCTGCGTCCTGGGAAGTCCCACAACGAAATCCATACTCATATCTGTCCAAGATTGGGTTGGGATAGGTAGGGGCATATATAAGCCCGCATTGGTCGCCTTGCCCTTGGCCAAGTGACAAACCCGACAACGCTCCACAAACTTGCTGACATCCTTGCGCAATGATGGCCAAAAGTAAGAAGCAGCAACAAGCTGCAATGTTCGGTCACGACCCACATGGCCCTCATTATGCAACTTTTGAATGATCTTCAACCTCAAACTGCTCTCTGGAATACACAACTGATTTCCATGAAAAAGAAAACCATCAACCCATGTAAACTTCGACTGCACACCCTCCTGCAACTTCTGGACAACATGGGAAAAGTATGGGTCAGTAGCATATAAGTCACGCACCCTGTCAAAACCTGGAACCTCCACTCGCATTTCTGTAAGGAGCGTTTGGCGCCTACTCAACGCATCCGCAATTTTGTTAAAGGCACCTGCCTTGTGCTTGATCGCAAAAGTAAATTGTTGTAGATAAGCAATCCAAGAGGCATGTCGAGCAGAAACCTTATCCTTAGTACCACGGTGTTTAAGGGCATCATGATCCGTATACAAAATGAACTCCTTATGGAACAAATAGTGACGCCAATGTCGAACGGCCTGGACTATTGCATAGAACTCCACATCATAAGTACTGTACCGAGACTTCGACCCAGAAAGCTTCTCACTGAAATATGCAACAGGGCGGTTGTTCTGACTCAGCACACCACCAATACCCACTTTCGAAGCATCACAATGCAGCTCAAATGGTTGGGTAAAGTCAGGCAGCACCAAAACTGGAGCAGTAGTCAACTTCTGCTTAATCAATTGGAAAGATGACTCTGCCTCGTGAGTCCACTGAAACCTACCATCCTTCATGCAATCTGTAATTGGTGCCATGATGCTGCTGAAATGCGGTATGAACCTGCGATAGAAGGAAGCAAGGCCATGAAACTCCGCACCTCAGTGACAGTTTTGGGCTGTGGCCATTGACTTATCGCCTCTACTTTAGATGTATCAACTGCTAACCCCACCTTCGACACCACATAACCGAGGAACACCACACTATCAGTGAGAAAGGAACACTTCTTCACTGCAGCATAGAATTTATCCCTGCGAAGAACTGAAAGAACTTCCCGAAGGTGCCGGACATGTTCATCATCATTAGCACTATAAATTAAAATATCATCAAAGTAGACCACAACAAATTTACCGATGAATGGGCGAAGAGCCTGATTCATAACCCGCATAAATATACTGGGCGCATTTGAGAGGCCGAAGGGCATGACTAACCACTCGTACAATCCTTCCCTCGTCTTAAATGCAGTCTTCCACTCATCCCTACGTCTGATCCGAATCTGATGGTACCCACTCTTCAAATCAAGCTTGCTAAACACACAAGCACCGGTAAGCTGATCCAACAAGTCATCTAGGCGGGGAATAGAAAAGTCGTAACGCACCGTAATCTTATTAATTGCCCTACTATCCACGCACATGCGCCACGTGCCATCCTTCTTCGGTGTGAGAAGAGCAGGAACAGCACAAGGACTAAGACTCTCCTTGATGTGTCCTTTTGCCAGAAGCTCCTCAACTTGCCTGCGCAACTCTTCATGCTCAGTGGGGCTCATTCTGTAATGCGCTCGGTTAGGTAGGGCAGCTCCAGGCACCAAGTCAATCTGATGCTGAATATCCCGCAGTGGTGGTAGTCCATCAGGAAGCTCTTCTGGGAAAACTTCATGAAACTCCTTTAACAATGGCTAAACTGCGAGAGGGACTTCATGCTCACTGTCAACCGACTTTCCAATCAGTACATACACTATCCCAGACTCCTCCATCTCTGTCTCGAACTTCTTTCTGGTCAGTAAATTGGCATTGTTCCCAACTATCTGTACTAAACCCTTATCCGGTAGTAACACAATTTTCTTTCCCCCGAACAGAAAGCTGTACGTGTTGGTATATCCATCATGCAGTGAGTGCCTGTCAAACTGCCACGGCCTCCCTAATAGTAAATGACATGCATCCATCTCTACTACATCACATAAGACCTGATCCTTGTAGGTAGGTCCGATGGAGAAGCTGATCCTAGCACGTTGAGACACTTCTACGTCATTGCCTCTTTTCAGCCAGGCTAATTTGTAAGGTTTGGGATGTTTCTCAGTCTGCAAACCCAGCTTCTTAACGACCTCCTCAGCCACCACATTCTCGCAACTACCAGAATCAATAACAAATTTGCACACCTTCCCTCCAACAGTACATGTTGATTGAAAGATATTATTACGCAACCAATCAGTGTTATTCTCCAAAGGAGTCAGGAAACTCCTCCTCACCACCAGTGCCTGACCCACATCACCAACCACAAACTCTTCCTCTTCTGTTGCTTCTTCTCTGCCCTCACCGTCAAATACAGGCGGACTTTCATAATCGTCATTTCCCTCATCAACAAAGAGTCCCCTGCGCGGATTCTTTGGGCACTCAGACTGCCTGTGGCCTATAACTCCGCATCCGAAACAACAAATACCAGCCCCAGGACGTGTTGGTTGTTGGGCAGAATTTATTTTAGGAGGACCAGATTGGGCAGGATTACCAGGACGTGCCACCTGCTGTTGTGGGTTACTAGAAGAACTCCCTGCAATGAAAGGACTAGCAGTTTTCCTGGACTGTTGCTTTTCTATCTGTATTGCCCTCTGATGTGCTTCAGAAACTGTCACAGGATCAAACATGTTGAGAGTATCCTGTATTTGGAGACGAAGACCACCCACGTACCGTGACACCAACTGCTCCTCCGTCTCCATCATCTCGTTCCTCGTAATCAACATATAAAAATCAGTGGTATAGTCACTAACCGTTTTCCCACCTTGATGCAGATTCTGCAGTTGTTGGTACATGGTCCGCACATAATTGTAAGGCAGAAATTGTTTCTTTATATGTTTCTTCAATTTGTCCCACGATGCAAGCTTAGGTTTCCCCAGCCTGGATCTTGTCACCTTAGTCTGCTGCCACCACGCCGCTGCTCGCCCACGAAGCCTCGTTGCAACGAGAGGCACACATTTATCGGCAGGAACGTCTTTAAACTCCAAGACTTCCTCCACTGCAGTCACCCAATCCAAGAATTCCTCTGGACTCAACCCACCATGAAATTCTGGAATATCCACCTTAAATCCTGATTCCCAACGTCGGTTGTCCTCCTGACCACCCCTTCTCCGGTGAACTGGCAGATCCAATGGTTGTTCAAGCGGTGCAAACGGATTCTCATCAACGGAATCCTCAAGCTGTTGGCCTGTAGGCGCAGGCTGCTGCGGCATAAGTGCGGCAATCTGCCGTGTCAACAATTCCACTTGTTAACGTAGCTGTGCGACTTCATCACGTCTATGTACCTCCTCTATCGGGGCATCACGGGCTTCAGGACGTCTCCTTGGCGACATGGTGAAGGAACGATTTCGGCTCTGATACCAACTGACGTAGCGAAAATATTATAGGGAAGATGAACAATCACAAATTGAGAAAACTCTCAAGGAAGATTTTATTGAATTCAAGAACTATTGCCTCTAAGGGCTTACAACTGATTAAATGGAAAAAACCTAGGAAAATTCGGAAAACAAAATTAAAAAAAAAAGATATTTTTTTCCAAAAATGAAAAATATGAGATAATTACTAAGATGGAAAATACTTATCTTCGGGATCATCCTCCAACAAACGAAATCTAAATCCGAATTTCATGGAAAGAGATATTGCAAAAATGAAAATTATCATAAATAGCAAAAACGATTAAACGAGGGCCTAAACGATGGATTTTGCCCGAAATTGGTCTTGCGTCAGGGCCAAAGGCGCTGAGTTTTATTCCTTGGCTCGGCTCCAATCAAATTAGACTAGTAATTTGCCAAAAACGAGCAAACCCAAAGTCATCATGAAATCATTTGCCCCTTTTGCCAACTTTTGCCTTGTGATGGTCTCATTTTGCCATGAACTCTAATCCCTTGTGCACTTCATTAGTGTCGATTTATCGTTCAATTATTAGGTCGATGCTGACTTAGAAATTATCGAGTTACATTATAGTTCGGGGAGGTCGTTTAACAACAATTTGCCGAACACGTAATCGAATGTTAAATTTTTCATTACTATCCTCACGCTTTCTAGTTTAAGTGGACGTCACTAGTTGCGAGGCAATGCATCAATGAACAAGAATTCTCCAATTATTTGATTGCTTCGACCTTCAAGACTTCACTAGGCTAACTATCCTTTATCAAAAGCCAAATTCTCTCAAATAAGTGTTTGGGCTTAATCAAGACATTTAGTGCTTTATTTTTCTTTTATGCACTCATTTTTTTCTTATTTTCAAAAGTATTTTTCTTTTTGCATTCTCTCCCTTAAACTTTCTAGATGATCCACGTAACAGACTTTAGTGTGATGACTCCCAAATCAGATTATTTCTTTTTGCATTCTCTCCCTTAAACTTTCTAGATGATCCACGTAACAGACTTTAGTGTGATGACTCCCAAATCAGATTATTTTTAGGGGTACTAGGTTTTAAGCACCCTTACATGCTTAATAATGTAAGTCAAAAAGGCTTCTAAGAGAACTTATTCTTTCACTACAACAAAAATGGTCATTTGCAATATATAAAAAGTAACATTCAATAGCTAAGTGTTGCTAAGGGGTTCTATTACAACATTTTAATAAGTAAATGTTGCAATTGGTTAATGAAATTGAGTTTTGACAACATTTTTTACATAAATGTTGCCAATATTACTTTTCACAACATTTTTTGAAAGTTGCAAAACATTTTACTTTTGGCAAAGTTAAAAAAACATTGCGAAAAATTTAATTTTTTGCAACGTTTAAAGAATGTTGCAAAATACCATATTTTGCAATGTTTTTTGAACGTTGCAGAAGTTACCTTTTGCAATGTTTAAAAAACGTTGCAAATGGCTATCTCTTGCAACCTTTGTCGAACGTTGCAAAAGGATATATTTTGCAACGTTTTCCTAATGTTGTGAAAAGTTTAACTTTCGCAATATCTAATAAACGTTGCAAAAGGCTTTGCTATATCCAACCCGACCCACGTTTCTCTAAAACCCTAATATCCATTTTTCAACCGTGTCTTTCTACTTCCCAACCATCCCCTCTCCTCTTCTCAACACACGCACACACAGCCTCAACCACTTCTACCGTCGAGAATCCTGTTGCCACCGTTGAGGTTTCCCTTCCCATCGTTGTTGGCACCACTTCCTCCGTCGAGAACCCTAGCAAATCTGTCCCATCTCTGGCCGTTGTTGCAAGCAGTTCTTCTGCGACAACCACAGCCTTGACCCACTTTCTTTCCCAATTATTGCTTTCTGTTTCCCCTTCCCCAATTCTCTTGCTCTACTAGATCTGATCTCAAAGAAGCTAGAGGTAACTGTTCCAGATCTCTCTTACGATTACTCATGCGTATATATGCTTTTGATGATTTGATAGAGTTGCTTTTATTGTATTGTGATTTGAATATGTATCTTCGTGGAATAGAATAGTTTCTTAAAGGTTTTTCTCCAGCAAATGAACTGATTCAGTGTAATTTCAATTTATGACTGCAAAAGCATGTGATAAAATCATAAAGAATTAAATTTCGTAGGATTCTTGATGTTCAGTGATCTGCTCCTTTTGGTATTGTTGCTTTTGACTTTTCCCCCTTTTTTCTCCAAGATGGTGGTTTTGGTTGAAGGAATAATGGAGCTCATTTGATAGGTTTAAATTCGTTTTGCCTGTGAGTATGATACAAGTTGGATTTGTGTGATAAAAGTGGCGAGTATAACTATGTTATCTGGAGTGCACATTCGAAAGAGTATGGCATGGTTGGGATGGTGGACTAGCTGCCGAATCATTATTAATTGAGAAAAAAAAGGTAGTTAAAATCTTAATGATTGTAGTGATAAGTCCTATTTAGTACCACAAAAATTTATAATGATGGAGTAGACATTTTATGCACTAGCAGCGTGAATTCTTTGTTGACACAAAAAGCCTTCCTAGTCTACCATGATGCACTACTTCATGAGTTAGATAGGAGTGTAGTACACGTGGCACACTTTTATCTGCACTTCAAGTATTCGTGGCTTTTGTCTGTTTTGGCATTTGAGTTTTTGAAAAGAAAATGGAGAGAGCTCAGCATAGGAAGTCCAAGAATGCTACAAGCATTGAAGGTAAAAAAATTCCATCTCTCGTTCTGTGACTATATATTTTGATAGAATATTTTTTCAATGGTTAAGCACTTTGGTCTTTCGTGAAGACAAATTTTGTTTTGGTTTCGTTCGAGGAGTGTAAGAGACTAAAAGTTTTGATTTTCCTTTTTGCTTGAGGTTGGTTTAATGAGTTTTGAATTTGAAGATAATTCGATAATGAAAGAAAAAGGGAAAATATTGAATTTGTTCTTCTTTGGTTTGTTTTCCATTTAGGAGAAATTTGAAATGAAAAGCTTTGGATCTCTGAAAATAAAAGGAAAATCAAAATTCTTAGTTTTTGTTCCCCTTCACTATGATGGCTTTATAAAAAATTATGATGTCTAAAATTTCAGAAAATTGGTAGCATTTTCTTTGTACTGTAGTTCCTTAGTTTTTCTTTAATTAATCGGAATCTCTAAGCTTCACTCTCTCATTCCTTTTGAATTTTGGTATTTGAAGGGACAGATTTGATAAGAAAAGGGGAGAGGTTTAGGAGTTTTAATTAAATAATTATGTTTGCTACTTTCACGACATTGCCAAAATTTAATGGAATTATTCTTTTTATTTTCCAAATATAAAAAATAAAAATAAAATAAATAAAAGGACCTACGGCAACGTTTGTTAAACGTTGCAAAAGCCTATCATTTGCAACATTGCAACTTCATCTCTAATTACTTTTTAAATAACCTTTGTATCGAGCTTTCGACCGATAACTACCAAGTTAGTTGACTTTAAGGCACTAAATTTTTAGATACCCTTGTAAGTTTAATTACTAGAGTCAAGGGTTTAAAGAGAAGTTTCAAATTTCAAATTTCAAAAGAAATATATACCTTGATTAGTGCAATGTTCATTATCAAACACCTATTCAAGCAAACTGATCTCCAACTTAAGACTTTCGCTCAATTAATCTAAGACAATCCATACATAGGAAATCCCCATTCAAATTCGTAATTTCCTACAATAGTAAAATCACCCCTCAAACTATACTAAAGTTGGTCTAAGGATCATTAATTTAAGATAGTTCTGGGTATAACATTTATATTCAATCATTTAATCTATCCAGCATATGAATCAACTTATTGCATCATGATGCAAAACTCAATTCTAGTGTGCATATAATATCAAGTTTTGCAAGGCTAAGTATCAATTATTTAAGCATGTAACCTATCCACAGTTTATCTATCAATACCAAGCCCTTGTTTGAGCCCCATTTTAGAGAAAGAATGTATTTTTGAATAGTAGATTGATAGAGAATGTGTGGTTAAAAATTAAGAAAAAGTTTTTGATTTATGTGTAATATTATTTTATTGAAAAATGTGTGGTTGAAAATGAGTTTCGAAAAATAAATTTTTAGACAAATGGAGCTTAAACAAGGACCAAGTCTCAAATTAAATCATCATTACCAGCCAGACTATTTAACCCACACAAGCATACAACCTAATAAAAGAAAATATTTTTGAATTTCTTCAAATTTTTAGAATCTTTTTTTTCTTTTTTAATTTTTTCATGTATACAAAAGCAGTGCTAAAAACATACACATTAAAACACACAAAAAATGTAAAAATGAACAAAAACTCAAAAGTTTTCAGTGAACTGCTTTGTAGTTTACTCAAATAGAGATGAAGAAGCACTTCTAGCCTTCAAAAACTGAATCACTTCAGACCCTTATGGCATCTTGGCCGATAACTGGCAGACTACTGCGTCAATTTGCAACTGGATTGATGTTTCTTGCACTGAGCATAACCCTGTTGATGATGAGCCGAAAATCATACAGACAACTACACGAGCAAAAATTCATTAGGTATTTCATGGAGAAGGATTTCTTACCAAGAAATTCAAGAAGCAACAAATGCCTTCAGTGAAATTAACATACTTGGAAGTGGAACTTTTGGTTCAGTTTATGAAGGAACACTTTTTGATGGATTGAATGTTGCAGTAAAAGTATTCAATTTCTAGTCAGAACGAGTAACCAAGAGTTTTGATATACAGAGTGAAGTATTGAGCACCATTCGCCATAGGAATTTAATCAAAACCATTGGCTGTTGCAGTAACACTGAGGTCAAAGCCTTGATACTGGAGTAGATGCCTAATGGGAGCCTGCAGAAATGGTTATATTCACAAATATTTCCTGGACATGCTAAAAAGATTAAATATAGCAACTGATGTTGCATTGGCTTTAGAATATCTGCATCATAATGGGACATTCAGTCATTCACTGTCCTTATTGTGATTTAAAGCCCAGAAATGTCCTTCTTGATGAAGATGTAGTTGGTGCACGTTGCTGATTTTGGTATAGCCAAACTCTTCGGTCAAGGGGAGTCAATGCCTCAAACGAATATATGGCACCAGGTTGTGTTCCTTACTGAGTTTCAGAATGTTCTGAATTTATTTATATTCAAATAAACTTGGGAATTTTTCAACTGATTCTCAGCTTTCAATTCTGTCAACTGTTCTTGTAAATGTTAAATGCCAATGTAGAAAATGGATCTAGAAGGATATGTACACGAGGAAGAAGCGAATAGATGAAATATTTGGTGAAAAAATGAGCTTGAAAAGCTGGGTCAGTTGTAGCCAGTCTTCAATTGAAAATAAAATAACCGAACTTGTGGATTCCAATTTGGTCATAAGTGACGATAATAATTTCACAGCAAAAACACAATGTGTCTTATCCATTCTGGAAGACTGGAATTGGAAATGGAGTGTGATCAACTTTCCTATGGAAAGAATCGATATGAGGGAAGTTGTGGCTAGGCTTGAAAAGATTAAAAACGATGTTTCTAAGAACAAAAGATGCTAAAGATGAAATTGGAAAGCAAACAAACAAAAAGTAATGTAGAGGACAGCAATGTACAGTGAGAAATCTTTCTTTTTTCTCCTCTACGAGGTTTTTCAACTTTATTTCTTGATACCAAAAGTGCTGTTCTGTTACTGAATGCTGATGAGAAACACACAAAACATAGATTTTTAAACTGCTAACACTATGAAGTCTATACAGGAAAATGAAAGTTTCGATTCTCATTTCTATCAATTCCTACTAAATCACCACGCAAACCAATGAAGATTTACTGCAAGAAAAGGAAATATAATCGAGACATTGCATGCACGAAGCAATTTGGCAACTCTTAAATGATTGGTTCTATTAAAATTTTAGAGATCGAATTTTATGCTTACCCTGCACATTGGAGGTTCAACTGCCTTTGCTCCACAATATTTAGTTTGCATTTCAATCTAATAAAAAGTAAAATGACTAAAAGAAAAGTCAATATGCAGATCAAAAATTGATTTCTTCTGCATAAACGGTTTGAATATAAATGCTAGCATTCAGGCATGAAAATGAACTATAACTGGTGAGAGAAAAGAAAAATGATTTAACAGTCTTTTGAAAGCTTTTAACTGTATACTAAGCCTATGTTTGAGCCTCCCCTTTTTAGCTAAAAATTGAGTTCGTAATAATGATTAAAAAAAATGTGTTTAAATAGTAGCAAAAAGTCTTTGGATTTACGTACAAAATATTTTATTGGGAAAATATGCGACTGAAAATGAGTTTGTGAAAAATAAGTGTTTAGATAGCGTGGTTAAAAATAGTGGCTAAGAATATCATGGATGAATAGGGGTGCAACTATCATTCACTCTTTAATTTTCTTGTTTGAATTTCATCCAAAGAAAAAGTTATTTACTTATACGTAGGTAAATAAAGTACACGCTATGTCGGATGATGATATGTTCCTTTTCTGCATGAATTTTCCACAAGGAATCTAAAATGGAGTCATATTAAACCAATTTCAGAGAACACCCCTTGGTTTTCCACTAATACATGCTACAATGAAAACACGTCTTGTTTTTCTTTGATGGAAAATACGGGTTGTCGTCAGGGGCGGACGCAGACATTTTAGACTAGGGGGTCAGTAACGAACTTTTAAAAAAGTGATGAAAAATTAAAATAAGATATATCTTATTACAATTGCTCTCTACGTGTTCTCATATTTTGATAACGTTCCATAATTACATCATTTTCAATCTTGTCAAAAACATCTTTCTCAATATATCCAATCAAACTATCATTCAATCATTGATCTCCGATTCGATTGCGCAGATATTTTTGACGTAAGTCATCGCAGAAAATGCTCTCTCGACTGTAGCAGTAGCCACGGGAAGAACTAAGGTTATTGTCACAAGTTTGTAGAATAATGGATACACTTCATGTTTATTCTTCACAACCAACTTCCGTGCAAGATCGTTAATACCTTGTAATTCTTCAAAGTCTTCAGAAGTGCGCATATCAAGAATATACGTATCTAGTTGATCATCAAGTTCTAGGATATTTGCTGCATCAAAATCTACCGGATAATACTGACATAGTCGAATCAATTTGATCTTGTCAAAAGCAGTAAATGAATTACTTGGAGATAAACATGCAACACAAATAAGCAAGTCACTATTTACTTCAGAAAAACGATCATTTAACTCTTGAAATTGCATATCAATGACGGCATAAAATATTTCCACACGAAAATGATGCAAATTTGTCACTATCTCACGCCGTGAACGACCTACAGTTACGAACACATCATCCATATCGAGAACATTGATCTTGTGAGTTTCACAAAATGAACAAATCACTCCCAAAAAAGAATCACATCCATCATCTCTCATGGTTTGGAGCTGTGTTTTACATATTTGCACCAATTTCATAGCATTGACAATATCTTGATCTTTTCTTTGTAATGCTCCTGACAATTCGTTTGAAATCCCTAAATTTTTTTTCATGAGATGTAGATTAAATGCAAATTCAAATCTTAACATCAACTCCAATGAAATGCATATATCACCTCTTGTTCCGGTACTTGTAGTATCAGTAGCAATCATCTCAATGACGTCGACTATAGTTGAAAACATGGCAATCAAGTTAATTAAACAACTATAGTGAGAGCCCCAACGTGTATTACCAGGACGCTGAAGAGTAATTTCTTGATTGAGACCCCGTCCCCTTGATATTTCACCAACACTGAGTGATTTAAGAATTTTCAATCTTTGGTTCTCTCGAATAAGATCACTCCGTTTAGCTGATCCTCCAACAATATTCACTAATCTATGTACTGTAGTGAAGAAAGTTTCAATCTTCGGATGTTTCTGTGCCACAGCTACAAGAGTTAGTTGAAGTTGATGAGCAAAGCAATGAATGTAGTAAGCACTTGGATTGTCTTTCAAAATAAGTGCTTTGAGGCCATTATACTCACCTCGCATGTTACTAGCTCCATCATATCCCTGGCCTCTCAAATTAGATATGCTTAAACTATGCGTTGAGAATAATTGATCAATTGCAGCCTTAAGTGAGGCAGTTGTGGTATTCAAAACGTGAATGACACCAATAAAATGTTCCAATATACACCCATCTTGACATAACGAATAACAACTGACATTTGCTCTTTCACAGAAATGTCTCGAGATTCATCAACTAAAATTGAGAAGAAACTATCACGAACATTTTTAATAATCACATGTAGACATTCAGACGCAATAGCACTTACAATATCTTTTTGCACTCTTGGTGATGTTAATTTCAAATTCTCAGGTGCATTTGTCAAAGCAACGGCCTTAATCTCAGGATTATGATCACACAACCAATGCAATAGTTCAAGAATGTTTCCTTGATTGTTTGAATCTTCAGATTCATCATGTCCACGAAATGCTATCCCTTGTCGTAGAAGAAATCGAACACAATCAATTGAAGCATTTAATCGGATTCGATAACTTGTTCGAGCTTGATGCGATTGTTTAACGAGACAAGATCTAATACTTTGTTCTTGATTCTTGAACAATTCATATTTGACCCGAGCTTGATTGTGTGCACTACTTGAAGCCTATATATTCTTTCTTTTTCCAATTTGAGAATCCACCTTTAACAAATGAACCACCATTCAAACCGAAAAGATAACAATAAAAGCAAAAAACTGCATTATTTGCTATACTGTATTCCAACCAAGTGGGATGCTCATTATACCACGAAACACAAAATCGTCGGTCTATTTTACCTATTCTTGTGGGTGGAAATATATGATTACGAGGCTGACAATGACCTCTTTGCATATATGCTCTTCGAATCACATCTCGAATATTAATATCATAATTTTGTATTGGAACTCTCAATCCAGGATCAGAGGGAAGCTGTGTAACATCAACATCCCCAATATCTCCAATATTTCCAACATCTCCAATATCCTCAACATTTCCTCCACTATCCCCAACATCCCCAATATCCTCAACATTTCCAACGTCACTAATACCCCCAAATCCAACATCAACATCTCCAACCTCTCCAATATCCCCAACGTCTCCAATATCCCCAACATCTCCAACATCAACATCTCCAATACCGGCAACATCAACATCTCGAACATCGTTTTCATCCCTTTTCTTTCGAACATTCCTTTCGTCAATATTTTGTTCATCACAGGAAATCATAGATGTACGTTTAAAGTATTTTTCCATAACTGAAACAAACCAAAAATGAAAAATCAACAAGATTAGAAATGCCTAAATTAGTTTATACTATGTCATACCTAATTACCTTCCAAAAGTCAGACAGTTTCAATCTTCCCAATTCCAAATCAATATTATCAATTTACATATAAATAAGTAACAAAGCCCTAAATCAGAAAATGGTCAATTTTCTAAATCAAAGCCCTAAATCAGAATTCAGAAATCCCTAAATTACATTTATTGGGCAGGAAACCGAATAGGAATCATAATTGATTAATTGTATTGTACATAAATACAATTTAAGAAATAGAAGTAACTAACAGCAGAGAGGCAGGCAGCAAAGCAAGCTAAGCACTAAGCAGACTAAGGTCACTAAGCAGTTACTGTCGAGAAGAATTCAAAGAAAATTTTTGAGTAAAGCTTCTAACCTTCAACTTTCAAGTCAGTAAAAATGGTCCACCCGGGTCTGGCGTCGACTGTTGCAGTCGCATGGAGGTAGCTCAGGCACGAAGCGATCTAGGTGGGGGTGGCCGACTGGCCGGTGCGTGCACTGCGTAGGAAAGAGTAAGTCTGTAATGTATTGTAATCTGTAGAAGCAAGGAACTGGTGGTCGGTGGTGGGAGTGCACTATGTGAGAGCCGGGCTGTCGGAGAGTGAGAGACGAGAGTCGAGAGAGAGAGAGAAGTCGTTGTTGTCTGAAGTCTGTAGAAGCAGCCAAGCAGGAAAGAAATGTTGTCTATTTTAAGTTTTGACCTACTATTTATTTATATTTTTAAAAAAAAAAGGTAAAATAGGTAAACCCCAAGGTGCAAAAGTTATAGGTGAATCCATCATATTCATTCTTGTAATCTGGCAACCAAGTTTTGGGAAAACATCACATCTTTGAATCCAAAACACCTGGCTTTCTTAATTTATTGAGAAAGGGACTCTCTCATTGGGGGATTGAGAGAAATGGACACAAGAACAGGTGGTTCTTGGTATTCCACTTGGAGAAACATTCAGCATAATACCAAGAGGCAGTAGGAGACAACAGATTGGAATGCGAAAAGTAAATCAGGAAGTTTAGTAAGAAACTAGAGGCATCTATGGTAGCGGGATGCTACAGGAGGTAGATGAGGAGGTCTAACATGCTAGAGATATCTATGGTAGTAGATCGTGAGACTATAACAGCGGGTCTTAGTTGATACAAGAGTTGGAATTGCTGTGTATTCCCTGAACTGTTTATAGTGGAGGTAACTGACTTGATCCCGAAATTTTTCCCAGTTGGGTTTTTACGTCATCAACTTTTGTGTTCTTTACTTTCCAACAATTTATTACAAACTGCAGTATTCAAATATAAGGTTAATTGAATTGTATACTTAATCCTCTAGAAACTAATTAAAAGTGACGTGTTTGCTTTAATTAGTCGATTTCGCACGTTAGGTCGAACTAATCGGTAATCTAGAACGTAAACTTAGCAACACTAAAATTTGAATTGGTAATCACAGCATCCCGCGAACTTTCAAGCATTATCATAGCATTTTTGGCAAGACTTTTCAAAATATACAATATTAATTCACAAAATTTGTACAGTATAAGACCTAGATTATATCTGCAAATTTCATCCATTTTCATGTTTGCTTTTATGAGAAAATTGAAATCCTAGTTGATTTTGTAGAAACTTTAAGAAATTATTGCTTGTATTTAATTGATTTTCATGTAGTAATATTTATTTGGTTAGAAAGGTTTTTCTATGGGATTTTCAACCATTTAAAGAACTCTAAATTCGGACTTAAAATGAAGAAGTAATAAGATTTTGAAGTTTGGATTGAATTTGAAAATTTTGGAAAAATGAAACGGAAGAACACAAATTTTCCACTCTCACTCTCTGCTCATTGTGGTGTTGTCTGAAACAATGTGTTAAAGTACGGGAATTTTGACCATAATTGAAATCAAAACGTCGAAATTAGGGGAATAGAAGAAAAAATTGCACGAAACTTCCCCAATTTAAAAAATAAAAATAAAAATTAGAACCTTTCACTAGTACATGAAGGCGCGTGGAGCGTTGAATCGTAATTTCAAAATATTTATTTTGATTCATGTATTATTCTGGATTTTTTAAGTGTGTACGCACACTAAAAATGTCTTCAGAGGTTGATAGAATTTATGCTTTGATTTGAAATATTCTTTACGTGAATTGATAGTTTGAAAAAGTCTTTGTAATTAATATTTGATTTGAAAAATTCTTTAAGTGAATAGATAGTTTGAAAAAGTCTTTGTAATTAATATTTTTGTCTTTTAATATTATTAATATATCTTTTTCTCTTCTCCTACAATTTATAGGATCTTGATTAAGAAGTTCCGACGCTTAGAGATAGAATACTCAGTAATTTGCCACTTGTTTTGTAAAGATGAGTAATCTCTATTTCTTTTGAATAACATATGGCTACCTAAAACAACTAATCTACCAATTGTTCGTTTCTCTATAAACTCAAAAACTTTCTATTGAACAATCAAGCAGAGCAGAGCAAGAATATTTATTTAATGATATAAATTGAATAAAAATTTGTAAAACAATATATTTGTAATGGCTTTTTTCAGAGTATTTTATCATTCGCCAAACTAATTTCTTTCAAAGTTTTTTTCCTCTCAATATTTTTAACTTTCTCTTAGCATTTTATGTCGTGTGCACATGAAACATATTATTTCTCCATAATTTTGATATATTAAAGATTTACTAAAGATATTTCATTTCTTGTAAATGTCTTAAGTTTTTATTAATTTTAACTTGTTTTATCCAAATGTTTCTATATGTTCTTCAACATCTGTCAAAGATTCTAATCTTTTTTCTAATTCCATTTGTCAACATAATGATCTTATTAAAGGATTGCCTAATATTATTCTAATACTAACTACAATTTGCTTCCCTTTATTCATTAAGTATAAATGCACTTAGTCTTTTTAATTTTCCTTTTATTCTTTAGTTTTTCCTAAATCTGAATTTTCCAACTTATCTATAATTATATTAAAATATCACATCAATGGAGAATAATTTTTTGGATGATTTTAACCTCCCTACGATTCAGTCAATAATACCTTATTTTTCGTTTTTTGATATGTAATAAATACTACAAAATTATTTTCACATTAATCTAGATCCAATAAATTTTCGCTTGATGAATCTTGAATTATATGAATCTAGAGTTATTATAGATAAATTTATTCAAATTCATATATCTAGAAATTTTAATGTGTATTTAAATTTACGTTTTGACAATTAATTTTTATGTATCAAATGTAATATAAAAAGATTGCTTATTTATAGTATTTCATTATTATAAAAAAATTTGAATCATAGAAATTGAGTTTTGAGTGTACAATTTGAGTATAATTTTATTATCTTAAGTTTATATACTAAATTTTATTTTCTATAATTTAATTCGTTCAAAACTCATCAAATCCTTCAACAAATTAATATCGACTATTACTTTTACATCATTTATAAAGATATTTTAGAATAACATGCAATGAATGTTTAACTTTGACTAGTTTATTAAAAAGTCCAAGTCTAGTTTAGGAGTATCTATTGACCTTTCTTTCTCTAATTTTAGCATTTCATTTTTTGACTTTCCTAAATAAATTTTATATCTATTTTACTTGTGTTGCAAAACTTCTTTTCTAATATTTCACTATTTTGGTTTTAGGATATTCGACATTATTTTTCTAAAGTCTTTATGTTTTTACTTATATTTTCTAATACTATTTCTACCTTTTTATTACTCATTGATATATTTCTTTTTATGCTTTCTCTTAGATTTACAATTTACAACACTATTTAACTATTTATCTTTAGTGGAATGTAAATTATGATTAAATTTTTTATCAAAGTTACAAATTAAAGAGGTTGTGTCTAAACTATTTTTTCTTTTAAGATTTTCAAGAAGCTCTAAATTTTAATAGTCTACTCTTTTCATATACTACGTGAATTGGACTAAAAACAAGCTCCGATACCGGTTTACGAAAATAAATTTGATTATGATGGCATTGATTTAGTTTAAAAAAGTCTTTAGAAGTTGATAGAATTTATGCTCTGAATTGATAGAATTTATGCTTTGATTTGAAAAAATTCTTTACGTGAATTGATAGTTTGAAGAAGTCTTTGTAACTAATATTTTTGTCTTTTTATCTTTTAATATTATTAATTAATCTTTTTATCATCATCTACAATCTACAGGATCTTTTATGATGGAACTCTCACACTGAAATATAGAACTCTCAGTGATTTGTCCCTCGAGTTGTAAAGGGAGTCACCTTTATTTCTATCTATTGTAGGTAATAAATGGCAGCCTAAAACAACTAACCTACCAATCTTTCGTTAAAACTCATAAAAGCTTTCTATTGAACCAAAAAAAAAAAAAAAAACCAAGAA